CACAAAGATAGAAGGACCACCCAATATAGAGGAATATCGGAGCCCTGTGTCAAGCAAAATCAGCATTTGCAAAACACGTGCGAGTAAATTGAGGAGAAACTGGTCTTATGGGCATCATCATCGAAGCGAATACTTACAAACGTTACCTATATGGTGTTTCAACTTGGCCGAACATTCACATTAAGTTTGGAAATCCGGGCACCTGGCGCACCAAATCGCCGATGCGAAAATAAACTCGATAAATAATACTAAATGGAAGTAAAAATCCTTTAAAAAACTTTCCGGACAAAGGCCCCTGCACGCGAAAAGCCGAAGGGCCCAGTGGACACGTCTCGTATACTTAGTCGGCACAATAGTCCCAGACCCGTTGAAAGCTTTAATGCTGAAGGGTGCGGTAGCCCAACAGATATCTGCGGTGTCCTGTAGCACACTGCGCTGCCTCTGCCCACCAGGTCTATTGGCCGCCTACTTGACTGCAGCTCCCCACTCGTTCGCTTGCTTTTCTATGTTATTGTGATAATATGCCTTCTCCTATAGGAATGCCATTTCCCTATAGGGCAAAGCATGCAGGCATCATGGTCTGTAATCAAACTCCAGTTTTACTGTGCTGCAAGCAAGTCCCAAGCGAGTGTAGCTGGCTATCCGTCTGAATTACTGCTACTTACCAGCCAAAGCGCCTGTTAGACGCTTGCACCTCTGCAACCAAGTAAACCGCTCCAGATGACTCCAAACACAAACTCACACTCCCCGGAAGCCCTAGCTATCATGCAGCAGCAGGCTAATGGGTAGGTTGGGGGACCTCAATGTTACGGCTGTTTTCCTTCTTGGTGTGCAATATTTGAGCGGAATACCGCAAGAAATCATGGGGGTAAAGAAGCGTGTTGGCTGGTTGTTGAGTAGACCTTTCCCCGAAGGAGCGGTGATAACGGCACAAAGGGAGCGTTTGACGAGCGGCTGGGACCATGCGCGTCTGACTGTCTTGCCAGAGGAGTACCCATCAGGTGGGAAGCAACCGGGAGTGCAGATGGCGAGGTATAAGCACTGGATGGGGCTGCCCATTTCGGGAGCCGCGGCCGTTAATGTGGCCAACACATGCTAAGGTTTTCATTCCTCGTTTAGCACATCGTAAGCTAATGCAGTTTCGTTTATGTTGCTGGGCTCTGGCGGCAAACAGAGTACGAAGGGGCAAGTTCCATGTCCCCAGGGCGCAGCGGATTTGCCGCTGTTGTGGTACTAATAGCCAAATCGACGATGAAAAACACGTGTTATTGGAATGCCCAGCCTATAATGATATTCGTACGGAAGAGGGATTCGATTATTAACAGAGCATGTTGGAGGCCATGAAATGGGAGCCAGTACGTCTGGCGAAGATGTTGGAACGTATGAGGGCTCACCGCAACTCAGTTACCCCTTTTGGACGCTAGTCTGGACTACTAGTGCTGTGTTTCCTGTTCTCCGTGGCTTTTAGGCGTATATATATTGCCCTTGAGCCTTCGGTGAAGCATATCTGTAGTATTATAAGGTAGGCATCGGTTGTCATGCTTCTTCTGTGTGGAGAACAGTCCTTGGCTATGGAACGGAGCGGGCGTGTACGTGGCACGAGCGAGACGTTACATGAACGGAATACAAATTATTGGTGAAAAGAAATCATTCACTCATCAAAACTCGCTCATCACAGTAGGTATGGCGAAAACAACTGATGCAGCGGCTTGTAGCAGCAGCGGCCAAGCTATAGGCAGGGCGGCAGGGCAAGCACGGCCCAAACCTGGCCCTGCAGGCCCAAGCGAACAAGCGAGCTGGGACCCCTTAGACACGCCGTGCCTGCTTGCCGATATGCATACCCCAGCACCTGGAAACGAACATATGTGTGTGTATATGTGTGTTACAACTTGAGGTAAATAACCCTCCGAAGGCGTAACGGCCCATACGAGCCGGGGCCAGTTTAGGGCTGTCCAAAATGGAAAAAAAGGAAAAGAAAAATCTAAAGACAATTATCCCATTACCCAATACCAGAAAAGAAAAGAAAACTATATCAACAACCAGTTGAGCTACCAGGACTCGTATGCCGTAGCGTTGTGCCTGCTATTCCTGTGGATAAGGTTCGGCAACTTAACCTGGCCAACCGCAGCCATCGCGTCCGTCATAATCTGATCTATCCGGAACCCGACAGAAAGCTCCTACATGTGCTATATGCTGGGCGCTCCAAGAGTACATGCTCGTCGTCCTCCGCGGCTTGGCCAAGCCGTAAAACTTGCAGATCCTCTGCCCACTCGGGAACCCCCCATAATCTCTATACACCATTTATACCAGGAGAGATATAGCTTAAGTGCCAACGTATGGATTATAATTCGAGATCATCTTCATAATTAATCCGTCGACGGGAAATTTGTCAAAAATCAGTCAACCAGCCAGCCAATAATATAAGAAAGCAGCCAAGCAAGCAAGCAAGCGAGCAAGCAAAAACGATTCTTATCGACTCATCAAGGAATCTTTTCGGGAAGGAGCCTAAGCAAGCAGCCTAGATCGTGACATCCATCGCAGCCATGTCGCCACCTACCTACATACGTACCTACCTACCTACCTACCTACGTGTAAATAAATCTAGCCGAGGCTAGCACTGCTGCAACGAGCCGGGCCCGCACCTGCACAAACCCTCCTGGCGAGGCACTGAAGCTACCAAGCTTTCATCAACGGATTCATCCTGCTACCATACAGGCACGGTATGGTGCGTGTGACATGCGCCAGCGGCAGCTACACCCTTAGCGGCAGCTACATCCTATATAATGTATGTAGGTCCATGTATGTAGGTCCAACCGGCAGCCAACATATGCGCCGCTAGCCTGGGACCTTAACCTCTTCCACTAGGAGTGGCATTGTTCGGCGAATGCAAATGGCTCGCTTACTACTACTCCTCCTCCGGCGGCGGCGGCGGTGGTGGTGGTGGTGGCGGCGGAGGTGAGGGGGGTTCCAGTCCAAATGGCGGTGGCGGGCTAGGGATTCCAGGGGCCCTGAGCCGGCGCGGAGAGGGCGGCATCCTTGGCGGGGGGGGTGAGGGTGGCGGTGACCTCCGGCGGGGCGGAACCGGAGGTGAGGGAGGACAGGGGGGAGAAGGACCCCGCAAGGATGTGGCGCCTGTATGGCAAGGAGGCCTCGGAGGTGGCGGCTTCGGTTGTGGAGGCGGTGGTGGTGCTGGTGATCGTCGCTGGGGTGGGGGTGAGGGCGGCGGCCGTGATGGGGGCCGAGGGAAAAGTGGGGTGGATGGCAGCTGCCGGCCGCTGACCAGGGACAGCTGGAGCAGTAGCGGAAGGAGCAGAAGGATTGTCGGTAGGGTCATCGGCCGCTGCAAGCAGGCTATAACTCAATTGAGTGAAGATGGAAATTGATTTATAACAAGAGGTTTTTGTTATGGTCGCGAAATGTGCGATCTCAGCAACTCACTTCCCAGGCAGGTCAACGAAGGAAACGTCGAGTCGACACACGTCCTGTCTGACAAGACAAGACAAAATTGTGGTAGGGGGCTGGCAAGGAGATGCCTGTGTCTCCTTCAAAGGCGCATGCCTTAAGCTCATTTTTCTACTGCTATTTATATCATACATATACGTGCGTTAGTAAAAGAGGATACGGCTACCGTACAGCTGCGCGGCTGGTGAGTAGTTGCGTTTGGGGGGCCACTACGTACTACAGAGGTCGCGACACGACGCGACGACCGCTACATCACGGTTGAGCTGCGTGGCTGAAGGAGCTGCCGGCTGCTGGCCAGCGAGGTATGCGAAGGGTCGCATATAGCGGGTTCAACAAAGATAGAAGGACCACCCAATATAGAGGAATATCGGAGCCCTGTGTCAAGCAAAATCAGCATTTGCAAAACACGTGCGAGTAAATTGAGGAGAAACTGGTCTTATGGGCATCATCATCGAAGCGAATACTTACAAACGTTACCTATATGGTGTTTCAACTTGGCCGAACATTCACATTAAGTTTGGAAATCCGGGCACCTGGCGCACCAAATCGCCGATGCGAAAATAAACTCGATAAATAATACTAAATGGAAGTAAAAATCCTTTAAAAAACTTTCCGGACAAAGGCCCCTGCACGCGAAAAGCCGAAGGGCCCAGTGGACACGTCTCGTATACTTAGTCGGCACAATAGTCCCAGACCCGTTGAAAGCTATGAAGGGTGCGGTAGCCCAACAGATATCTGCGGTGTCCTGTAGCACACTGCGCTGCCTCTGCCCACCAGGTCTATTGGCCGCCTACTTGACTGCAGCTCCCCACTCGTTCGCTTGCTTTTCTATGTTATTGTGATAATGTGCCTTCTCCTATAGGAATGCCATTTCCCTATAGGGCAAAGCATGCAGGCATCATGGTCTGTAATCAAACTCCAGTTTTACTGTGCTGCAAGCAAGTGTAGCTGGCTATCCGTCTGAATTACTGCTACTTACCAGCCAAAGCGCCTGTTAGACGCTTGCACCTCTGCAACCAGGTAAACCGCTCCAGATGACTCCAAACACAAACACACACTCCCCGGAAGCCCTAGCTACCATGCAGCAGCAGGCTAATGGGTAGGTTGGGGGACCTCAATGTTACGGCTGTTTTTCTTCTTGCAGTGCAATATTTGAGTGGAATACCGCAAGAAATCATGGGGGTACTGGAGCGTGTTGACTGATTGTTGAGTAGACCTTTCCCCGAAGGAGCGGTGATAACGGCACAAAGGGAGCGTTTGACGAGCGGCTGGGACCATGCGCGTCTGACTGTCTTGCCAGAGGAGTACCCATCGGATGGGAAGCAACCGGGAGTACAGATGGCGACGTATAAGCACTCGCTGGGCTCTGGAGGCAAACAGAGCACGAAGGGGCAAGTACCATGTCCCCAGGGGGCAGCGGTTTTGCCGCTGTTGTGGTACTAATAGCCGAATCGAGGATGAAAAACACGTGTTATTGGAATGCCCAGCCTATAATGATATTCGTGCTGAAGAGGGATTCGATTATTAACAGAGCATGTTGGAGGCCATGAAATGGGAACCTGCACGTCTTGCGAGGATGTTGGAACGTATGTGTTGTGGCATACTTGCATATTTACCCTCGGACTTTTCCCCAATTCTCTGGCACTTCGCCGCTGGGCAATATCTTCGCTCTTACTCGGTTAACCATTGGGCACTGGCCTATCTCTAATTGGGCGCTGGCCCATCTCTAATCGGGCACTTGCCTGTCTTTATCACGCGTGATACTGGGTTATAGCGCTCTTGCTATAATCGTGACACTTGTCACTGGTAGACCCACTTGGGTTACGATTGCACCGATTGGTGATAAATCGCGTTGACGACTATATTCTCGGATCGTACAGACTTCTGTACGAGTCGTCCTAACGCAGAGGCATTTAGCCTCCCTCCGTTCACTAATTGGTAGTTTTCACTACCACCTAAACAGTGGAAGTGGATACAACAAGTGGTATCGAGACCGAACGTCTCGACCAGCTCTTTCGCACCAATCTCGATTGTCAGTAAAGGTCATAGGCTTACAGTGTTGGAGCGCTCGCGGCGGCTCTTCAGGGTAAGTGAAAGATCGTTATCATCTGTATTGTTTTGTCCTTGGTTGCCTCG